AAGAGGGAATGGTTAAGAAGCCATATAAACAGAAAAAGATCATGTGTTCAGTGGCACTGAAGAATACAAAGCTTGGACTCCTCAAGAGGAACAATACATCTCCTAAACACACCAGAAATAAGTGAAATCTTCCCCTTAGGTGGAACTGAGTTCTGAGGAACAAGAGAGACTGAGTTCAGTTAGTGATTTTGTACCTGTACTCTCTGACAATCATTTCTTTCACTGAATTAAATAACTTATGGGCAACCTTAGGGACCTCAGCATTATTATTAGTTTTTCCTATTAGATTTCAGTGATATGTCACTTATTAAAATATACTAAAAGCTTAACAAGTAATTTGTAAAAGAAAATAAGAAGAAATAATCTTATCAGAATGCGTAAAATTGTTTACATCAATCAAGAAATCAACAAGTGACATTACACAGACGACTGCAAGTTTCTGGCAACAGAAAATCACTCATTAAATAGCTTTTTCTCATTAAACAGCTTTTTGTTGAATTCTCATGCCTCGTTTTCAAAATGCTCCTTTTGAGCTCTACCTGCACCCCATGCAATTACGAAGCATTTCTTGCTTTTCTGATTTTAAAATTAGTAGGTAGAGAAAGAGAACGTTCTGTGATAGACCAGATTTAGCCTTTCCCAATTCTAGCTGCATGCAAGAAGTACAGCCAGACTTTACAGATGCCATACAACACCATAAAATGTTTTATTCCTCAGATTTTCAGGAAAAAAAAAAGAAAAAGAAAAAGAAAAAATGAGATTCACAACTGTTTTAGGCATTACTTCTCTACAACGACATTGGCATCTGCTACAACCAAGCGAACTGGAGGAATTAGCGTCAGATAAACATATTACTCACATACTGTTGAAGAGCTCTCGGTACGTTTCATCACCTTTACCTTCCGACATTAGGCTGTCCAGTTTGTCAATCAGTTTGGCTTCCACCTGCAACATATAAGTGTGGTGTAAACAGCTTCTTTTCCCTTTAATGAGATTAGAGAAAATTGAGGGAAGATTTGTTTTTATGGAAGGGACTTTGCTAAATGCGTATCTTAGAATTATTGGTCAATCATATAAATCAGGATAAGTCACTTCATCTCTTTGAAGCTGTTATCATTCCCAAGGTTTGTCGGGTTTGCTTTTTTTTGGTGATTTTTTTTTTTTTTTTGGAGGGAGGGAGCTAATTTAAATTGAGCAACGTGACTTTAAAACTACAGGCTGAGTAGCATTTGCTGCTGCTAAGGCAGCTATCTATTTATGGAGTCAGACAAAAAGCACACAGCCCAAATAAATTGCCTGAATTCTCACTGCAGGGCTGTAAGCACAAGCCATTTTCTTAGATTTCAATAAAAATATCTTTTCTGCCCTGCACCTCACTCTTTATAAATTAATTTTTATAAATGTCTGTACTGTTCAGAACACTTGGGAGCTCAGACTTACTTTCCCAGCCTTCCTTACCTGCCGGTGTGTTTGGTCAGAAATCCAATTTGCTGGCTTTACCTATTAGCTACCAAAGAAACTTACAGTACGTATCTGGTGGCTAATGACTCCTTCAATGCATATTTTTAAGTGTATCGATATAAAAAATACAGACGTGCGGCTACATTGTGTGTTAATGTTTCAAATGGTAATATATTAGCAACCACAAATCTAGGGGAGAAACCAAGCTGTTGTCAAGAGGGTTTATTAGAGAATAAATCTATTACAATTTACATTTAAACCCAAGCTGAAAACATAGAGAAGCAGAACAAGTGGATTTTTTTCCTTCTCACTCCTTGTTAACATTTCTATGGTGATTTTTAACAATAAGCTTACATCTTGATAGTGAAAAGCTACCTACTTACATCACATGTACTCCTCCGTTCTTAATAGTTTGTTTTGTGTTTCAGATCCAGCTCCCACCCTAAGCATTATGATTGCCTGGGAGTAATTCAAATACTTCTGCTTTCCTTCATTGGAAGCAGCAGGAAGGAGAGCACCGAGGCACTCCGAAAGAACCAAGTGGGAGCTGCGGGAGCAGATGGCACATTTGGTCGTCCCTTCCTAGCCCCCTAAGAAAGTGTTTGAGCAGCAAAAAGACTTGGATTCTTACAGAAGAACATTCCTCCAAAGGACCCCCTGATCTGTTTTCATATCAACCAAGGGAAGCTAGTTGAATCCTATCTAACCAGTAGTCTGTATTGATGTAAAGCGGAGATGAAAAACCACCACAACTCAAGTTTTGTTCTTCACTTTGGCAGGCCGCGGATTTTATCCCTCACCTTACCGTTCTAGCATGATAGCATTAAGGGGAGAATCTTACTACCCCTGCAGAGAGTAAAAAGGGAAAACCTTGGTAATCCCTCTCCAACAAGGATAACGTGGCTACCTTCTCCACCCCGAACCATCAACGGCTGGGACCAGCACTCTCTGAAGCACTTGAATTTCAGTCCTGGTTTATAAACAGCTTCACACACAGTACCTGTTTAAAGTTGCCACTTCGCCTTTGCTCCCAGTCCATCATGTCATGGAAAATGGGAATCATTACATTCCTCAGGTCTGGCTGAGGGATCAAGGTCACTTCCAGGAAGGGGCCAATCAATGCTGGAATAAAGTGAAGCTTGTGTTCCCCTAAAATGAAAATGAACATGAACTTGAAAGTCAATCGGGTGTCCTGTGAGCTATCAAGCAATCCAAACAGCATCTGAAGAATTAAAAAATAGCACTCTAAATGTTTATAGGTTTTTTTCAATCTCATGTCCATCACAGCACGGGCTATTTCTTAAGCGCAAAAACTGAAAAGCTGCAGACAATACAAGACTATAAGGCCAACATAATTTATCAGATTTTATTAGGCAATACTGAGTTGAGAAGTGACAGTGAGTTATCTGTATCCCAAGTTAGACCTCCAGAAGGAGAACAAAGAGACACAAAGCACTCTCTGGGCATTTAACTTCTTTTTCACAGGAATGGTTTGGTTTCTAAGCTCTACATTCTTGTGTTTACAAAATGGTTAACTGTCTGATATTCTGTGCTCATCAAAGAGAGGTAAGTACTTTGATTTTTACATATCTTTAGTTTTGTAAGTACAGAAATGGAAATACACATTTTGACTGCAGGAAAGGGAAGATGTGACTTGGCTGTTCTCAAAACAACTCACTTTAAAATCAGTGCTAAAACATCTTCCGTTAACTCACCACATTCTACTTAGCAGCAAATTAAGTTCTTGTCAGGAAAGCTAGGAATGGCATACAATAAAGATTGAACATTCAGTTTCAGTTTTCCACGAGTAAGACTTCTGATATCTTCAGAATAGGGGGATTATGAATCACAACACACTGACTTTCCAAGCTGGGAATTAATTTACGTCCAGCCTACCTCTGGATATTCCAGTGGGCAGTCACCTCTGTTTGCTGCTCTGGTTGGTGACTGTGTTTGTGCAAAGGAAAACCAGAATTCCCTTTGCTGGAAACACGCTGGGATGCCTATCCATATGAAAGTAAGGTGATTGTACAAGGATCAAGGCTTATGATGACTCTTAGTGCTAAGAAAACTGTAAAAAGCATAACACCAATTATATGAAATGTGCTGACTACAGTATTTAATTAGGTCCAATTAAACCAGATGAACTCCGGATTGTACCCCACAAAACTCGCCTCTTGGGAAAGGCATCGTGATTCCCTCCTTGCCCGCATACTGGGTTTCCGTTCAGCAGAAAGCAACGTAAGTGGGGAGATGAGGCACACTAAGGTCTTAATGTAGCACACAGGAAGGAGATGGGACCCAGGAGTGGATTTTTGATAAACCGGTTTAGAAACACCCACCACATATCCAAATAATTTAGAGGGATGCCTTAAAAGTGAGTAAGCAATACTAAATACTGTAAATAATTAAAATACGCTGCACAACAAACGTCAACAAGCTATTAATAAGCAAATATTTCTTATTTTGAACATCTCTCTCTCCAGTACAGGCTGATCAGAAAGACCAGTTTTTTACAACTATGTATCTTGCTGGGGAAAAGATTTTAGAATTAAGATGACAGTATCTCAGTAACCACCGACGGTCTTCATATCTTTAATGAGTCCTTTAATGAAGTGAACTATTGAATAATTGAAATAAAGATGACAAACATAGCGCCCAAATCTTCTATTCTCTTATTTTCCTCCTAAACAGAATTAATTGCATTTCTCTGATGCTCCTACTTTCAAACAGTTTGCACAGTTATTGCTTATAAACATAAAAATGTTCCTACGTTTATATCCAAGCATATATTTTTCTCGTGTTGTCCAATGTGTCACTTATACATCAGTCACTGATTTGTTTATGCCTTTATATTTTAGTGCAGCTAGGACTTAGGGGAATATTTGATGCAAATCCAGAATCTCAAGAGAGCTTCAGAATTAAGATATATGTTTGTTCCTTAAACTGTCTGGCAACAGAACTAAAATTGTGAACATCAGTGTATTTCCAGGCATAATAATTCAGCCCCAAACCAGCAGTACTTTCTTTTCTAATTTTCTCTGATTATATTCTTTCAGTTCTTTTTGAAGAAATAGGGATAGGTCAGATACAGTATCAAGGCTTAGAAAGCTGAGTTTAGCTATAATAAAGAAGGGAACTACAGATGACTAGGGTTTTCCTAAACTTGAATGAAGACTTCATGCGAACTTACTCATCAACAACTCCTCTATCATTGGCAAGTATATTTAACAAGTGAAGAAATGATAACTGTTTTTCATTTTACGAGCTACTGATGAGGTGTTAATTACTTACCTAAATTTTGCCACATGCTGAAGATTTCACATCCCATTGTTACCCGCATGTCACCATATCTGCAATGTATTAAAAAATAAAGCAAGCCAGTGAAAGATCAGCTAAGAAAATCAAGTTCATATCCCATTCTGTGGCACTGTTATATGAAATGTCTCATTTGTAGTCCATGAAAAACTACTTTAAAAGTGACGATTTCTTCCAAGTTTTTGCTCTTTCCATTGTATCCAGCAAAAATCAGATTCCTAAGCCCAGGTTTATTTGCAATATTGTCAAAAGTATCAGTTCCTTCTAAATGCTATACATCAGTACCACTGCTGTGAAGCAAAAGCTATTTTTTTGCAGTAATATCCTGTAGTTCTCTCTCTGAGAACAAATAGTTTTGCTCCAGCTTAAAGAAATACAATTCATTCATACAGACAACAGTGTATGAACTGAACGAGTGCGAATCAACTTATGCACGAACTGGAAAGGAGCGTTGGCACAGCTGGGACATGGCTATTTTGCCCCCAGAATCTGAACCAATTTGGCACTCCTACGAAGGCTGTATCAGCTCTGGAGCCCTACACAAAGGGCCAGAACCAACTCTCATTCTAGTCAGTGGAAATACCGTTACCATTATCTTTTCGGTAGGTCTTTTTGCAACCTCCCATGTCTTGCATTTTTAAGAAGCATTTGATCTATTACAGTTTTCTAGAAGCTGACAGCAGTACTTACTTTTCTAAAACCTTTTTCTTCTTGGAAGGTGTGAACATCTCCAGTTGCAGACATAACTGGTTTATAAAAATGACAGCAAGAAAAAAGTAGGAATCCCATATCTACAATAAGCATATGGCATTTGGTTATTTCGTTTCCTCATTTTATGACCACTCAAGATGCAACTTTCCACTCACATCACTTGTTTCAGTCTCAATTAATCAATTACTCAAACTGTTTTTGACTAGATTTCTTTAAATCCAAATATACTTTTCACCAACCCCAAAATGTTCAGGAGAAATACATCTATTTTACATATTCTACATCTCTTAAATGTAAAGGTTTCAGAGCTGCAAATCTTTTTTTCTTTTTCATCCTTCCAACTCAGAAAACCTTACCTTCTAAATTTGGAAACATTTTCTTGGTATATTTAAATAGAAGACTACAAAAGTTATGCCTCTAAGTCCCAAACCCCCAAAATTCTGACACCTCAAAAGCTATCACATAGCAGAATTGTCATTCTCTGGCCCGTCCTACTTTATAGCATTATTTGCAAGTCTCATTTGCTGCAGACTTCACTGGACAAAACCGAAGCCAGCTTTTGTTAACATATTGCAAATATACAGATGTTTTGTGCACGTGCTTTAGGAATCAGATGTTCAATCTTCTACCTAGAAGATTTAAAGCTAAATTTAAAGCTAAATTTAAAAGACGTTAAAATATTAATTGTTATAACTCAATTATAGATGCTCCATGGCAGGAGGAAGAAAGGAGTGCAGGGGAAGCCCTAGTCCTGACACTGCAGTTCTGCAGGACAGCAATAACATTGCTAAGCAAGTTTAAGGGGCACAGATGCCTTGTCTACAGGCAATTCTTTTATCAGTTTTAGCCTCTGAACTTGTGGAACTTCATAAAGGATAGACTTCCTCGTGTCCAGTTAGGCCAAGTAGGTAAATCGGCA